CAAACATACATACATGGCAAGGGATCATTCGGCATACCTACGCAAGCGCAGACGCACACTGACGGCAATTATTGCCGAGGAGTCCTCAGGCATAGCGAGGTATGCTCAGGAATACCGAGGAGTTCTCAGACATGCCGAGGTGTGCTTAGGAATGCCGAAGAGTGCTCAGGCTTGCCGAGGTGTGCTGAGGAATACCGAGGAGTTCTCAAGCATGCCGAGGTCTGCTTAGGAAAGCCACCGTTACAGCCTGGTCCCTAGCTTAATTTAGAACAGTAGCAACGTTTGCAACGATTGGGATCTAGTGCTTATAGTTATTCTTGCTGATGAAGAAGAAAAACTAAAAGCCAGAAAGGCTTTACGTGCGGTGGGGTGTAGACGATTTTCAGTTTTGACTGGGTGTCTCGAAGACTGCCGAAACTAACCAAGGGTTCCTTCGGCGTTCTTAGGTTTGCCTTGGCTTCCGAGGTACACCGAGGCGTCCTTAGGTATACCTTACACTGACGAAGACTTCCGGTAAAGCCGAGGCGTCCTTAGGTATGCCTTACGCTGCTGAAGACTTCCGAGGTATGCCGAGGTGTACTCCTACCTTGACAGTCTTGACCTACTGCGCCGTACTGATAGTGGGCGCCGGGCCTAACGATATGACTTTATTCGATTCTAATAAAACATAACTTAACGGTTCACATTGAAAACATGTTTATCGGAACTACCTCACGTACACATCATTAAATTATATAAAAATGCTAGCGGACGCGACAGACGTTGTCCTGTACACACGTCTTAAACTTAAAAAACATTTTGTAGTGGACCGAATTATGAATCTAAACCATTTTCAAATCAACTTGAACACACACAAAAAAAATCATCAAAATTGGTCCAGCCGTTTGGGATGAGTCCTGCACAGAAAAATTATAAATAGAAAGATACATTACTACATATAATTAATTACTATTAAACTTATTTTTCGATGATTATTTGTCTAAGTATATCTATAAGTATCCAGTCGGATGATATATAGATACATATAAATATATATATAGTCATATTACGATAGTTATTCAAGGTTGTTTTACATAGGTATTTCTTACATTTGACTCGTTCTTTTGGGGTCAGTACCATCTTTTTTACTAATCATAAAGTGACCACATACGCAGCTGTTGAACATTTAAAATTTGTATAATGTCATGTTAACGACTGGACGTTACAAGATGACTGCGGGCAAAAAGACAAAGATATTATAACGGATACTATAATATCTCAGATTGTCATTACATGAGTCTGAACTCAGAAATAACTTTGAGAACGATTGAGTGCGTGTCTCATCATTTTGTTATAAATATTCGGTCACCAAACCGGCACAGTTTTCAGTTGGCATTGCGTGACCAATTTCCTTTTGACCTTGCGTACTAAATTCAAGATCAACTTGCTTGCTTAATCTCTATCATTTTTTATTTTAGCTGGTGGAACATCCGTAATTCAATTTAGTATATTTTTAAGAATTATAATGATTTCAACATTTTTTTGCGACACTATGTCGTCGTATCTAACTTTGAAAAACAATATTGTTGAGTCTACACCGTATTTTGAAAGATTAAATATTAAAATCCGCTTTAAATCACCAAGCCAAAGTAAGATAATTTAAACAGTGGAGGATTAACACATGCTGTTATATGTTACCACGTTAATAATAAAAATTATATTTTTACATTGGAAAAAACACTTTCAGTAGCCAAATTATAAACAGTCCTCGAGACCTGAAAGCTTGGAGTAATCATTAACAGGGCGTTTCGTATTACTGCACGTTTCGAACGTATTAATTATAAATACGTTCTCTTTTTAACACGAAATAATTAATAACAGCGTCGACTGCACTGCACTGTTCTTAGCAAGACGCCACGATACCCCTTGACTAGGTATTTCTACACCCAAAAAGTAAATTGTAATCTTGGATTAAATACATCCTTTGTTGAAGTAATGAACACAATAAGGAAATGTAATAATTTAAAAAATCAAAAACCAGACTGCAAACAGACAATTTAAAAGTAATACACTAAAAAGACCGAAACATCACAAGGTCCGACAAAACATGGTCCATTTTTACGCCATCAAAAACTTTGAACAAATTTATTATTTCTTATTAAATTAAAATATATAACTTTTATTTATGTGTTTGTAATCCTCTATTAATTTTCTTTGTTTTGATACTCTACTGGATTGGTTTGGTTAATTATTTTTTAACCTATTACTCCAAAAAGCCGTCATTTTGTTTTTGTTTTCAAAAAGTCATCTAAGGACACTTGGGTTTTGAGACTGATAAAACAATACCTTAACTGTCGTAATTCATCCAGCCCTTTGGAAGATACGAGGTAATAAAGAAATTTATTAACAAACATACATGATAGGCGCGAAAAACATATCCCTTTCTTGGCAGTCGGGTAAAAATGGAAACTCAATCAGTTGTATGTTCTTCATGATTCATTCCATAATTTCAAATCATCTATTTGCTTTATTTACATCTTTCCATATTAACATTCTAAAATAATTAATTGATATTTGTTCTACATCCTTATATATTAACACAAATAAATTGTGTTAATTTCAATGTCGATATTTCTAGTCAAACAAAAAATTACCCGCTTGGATATTTGTCGATCTATTGGTGTCTACTGTAATATTGGTGTATAAAAACTGTATCATACTGTTTTTAATGTAGGTATACTAAATAAATAAAAGTGTTAAATATTCTTGTAGTAAACAGCTTAATAGCTAAAAGAGTTGGACATATTACAGCAGAACAATAAATTGTACAATGAAATAACAGTTAGAGGAGCTGGTGGCTCATATAAATAAATATAGAACATTGTCGAAAACAAAATCATTAAGACTTAAAATATCATTCTTGTAAAATCATAATAAACAGAAGGCTGAGAACACAATACACTTTTTTATACTTCTTTATTATTTATTAAGTTGTTAGGTTCTGACTTCTGGGCAACGACTAGTGCAAGTTACAGAATGCGACCGTGATCTGATTAAGCTATCTTTTCACTCGCCAATCCATCCACATAAGCAAGAGCCTTTTCTGTGATTGACCTTTTTCCTTATCAAAATGTGAATTTACATTGCTTCTGCTTACTCCTTCGAAGATACAGGTGTGCGTGTACTTATGCGAAATATGTTATTAAAGTATTTAAATCGATATCATTACAGTGTCAAAACACTGAATTATTTGAGATTTTGAGTGAATATACACTCAAAATCTCAAATAATTCAGTGTTTTGACTTAATGACATAACATTGTAGCTTCACAATTCAATCGTCGTCATACGGTTTTTTTCTTCTCACAAGTGTCTTTGACCCGTTCAGTGTTCCATTTATCAGTGTGCAAACTGTAATAACAATATACCGTAACATGTAAAAGTGCTCTACGCAGAGTCAAGATTTGGAGCTAGTGGGCCAACTATGTCATTAGGTTAACGGAGAGGTATTAGCATATGATTTTAGTAACTTTAGCATAGTCTTTATCTATGCTTTACGATTTGCTTTTAAGGTCATGATTTCAAGATTAAATACAGTCTGTATTTTTTTTAAATAAAATGGAACAAAAGAAAAACATGAATAAGTAAGGCTTATAATATGTTAAGATATTTCATCTTCTTTACCCTCGCCCATTCCCGTTACGCGGGGTTGACATATTTCATCAATATTTTTTTACGTTACTCATTCTACAACAACAATCTGATGACTGTTTGTTCGTTAATATGATTAGGAGCTGATTAGCGTCGTAAGTTACAGGGATTTAATACGATGACACCGAAGTTCCTTACTACCTTGGTCATAAAAAAAAGAGTAATTTTATCATTGAAAATAAGTATTTACACTATGACATCGTTTTACTGGAGATAAATTCTGACTACTAATAATATGTTTGTTATGATAACAAGCTTGCCCTCACATCAACGTTTATAGTTTTGATCTTTGCGATTCTTTGCCATATTAGGTAAATATTAAAATTTTAGCGTGATTCCCTGATTATTATATTACATTAAAGAATGGGTGTTAAAGTAAATTGAATTGCAGTAGTTGCTTTGTAGCAAACTTTCATAGCTTCAAGACTGTAAAAAGCCATATCTTTGTGTAGTGCAGTATCAATAGGTATCACTGTCATACTGTGTCTGTATAAGACATATTTTTAGACCTTTAGTAACTCTAATGAGGCAAAGATGATGATCGATATTATTCTTCAAATAATTTATCATATGAGACCCTAAAACTCATTCTATTGCTCAAACTGTTTACTGCTTCATAGATGCCAGTAATGAGAAGTAATGAGGACAAAATATCATGGCGGAGTTGTCCTAAACATAGAGTTAAACTTGAAAGAACGCTTACGAAAAGATAATCTTAGATCAAGTAATTAATAAGTAATGTAGAATCTGTGTGTCTGCTACTTAATAATAGCACCCACTGAGATGCTGTATTACTTATTAAGTAGAGTCTAATAATAATTTAGTCTATACTTATGACATGCTAATATTAGAATAGACACTATTATTAGACACTAGGGACTCGTGGCTAAGTGGTAACCAAGTATCTTAACACATTGCAAAGTTAGCAATCCTAGCTAGGTCACGCTATGGATGGGTGACCAGTCTTAACACATTGCGACCCCGGTCCGTCCCCGAACCGTCCCGGTTGCCATACGCACATCTGTGCCAGTCGTTACGGGTAGTTGAATTCCTAAAAAGTCCGACAATAGTCTGTACAGAACTTCGATATCGACTAGTACTTGGGTTGTGGTCTGATGGCAGTCGTTCCGCGTAAAATATTTGAAGTTCAGCCATATCGTAGCAGACTTAAAGCCGACCCCAACCTAGTTGGGAAAAAGGCTTGGAGAAACAAGAAGACACTAATGTTAGGCACATCACTTAAACCAAATTAATTTAAAAAAGTGTTAACTAAAGACAGACAAATAAGGATTTTATATTTTAATTTTACAGGGCCCTGAGATGGTTCGGGTGTCGAAATTCTACAAAGACGCAAAAAAATGGTCGTTACCTACGTTACCTCCATGATGATACACGCACTCTCTACGATACCTTTCGACGAGGTGTCAAAGAATCAAGTAAGTAATTGCAATATCTAATAGTCTATTTAGATTAATACGTACAATTTACATACGATACAGAATAATGAACGGATCGAATAATCGTCGAGCTGTATTAGTATTTTAATACATGCAATTCTTGGGGACACGAACAAGTACATAGTAAGGTGGTCAGTGGTAAGTAAAAGGTCAAAACCTCCTTTCTAAGGAGAGTCCTATGTCCGGCAGTGGACTATCAAAGCCTGTTGATAAAGGGGGTCAGCCAATATCTCGCATTTTAAAACTCTCCTTATTTTTCTCAACATTTCCGCTCGTTAACGATAACTACGATAATACTTTGCTATAATGAAACTGGTTCACAGGATACAGTTATCATAATTTGTAATGACAAAGTATCTGAAACAGGACAAGTTAAATGTTTATTCTCAAACCTGACTCAAGGCATATCAAATGTGTAAAATTACGAACATATGCCTATAATTTGACCTAATTTATTACTAAATTAAGTGTGAAAGTGGAACAGATTTTAGATATATTAATTAAAGGAGCTAGACATAACAATAAATTATAATTTGTGTCTGGTTTCAGATAATGGCCATTGTCTTGGATGGCGAGAGGGACCTAACAAGCCTTACATGTGGCAGACATATAATGAGACATTACTGAGAGCAAAAAATTTCGGATCAGGTCTTATATGCCAAGGTTTAGTTCCTGGACAAAACACATTTGTGGGTAAGCTTGGAATGAGTTTGAGAATGTAAAAGAAACAATATATCTGTAGCCAAAACATAACTAGTATTTTGTTTCCAGGTATATATTCACAGAATTGCCCAGAATGGGTAATGACAGAACAGGCTGCTTACTGTTATTCAATGGTCATAGTCCCCTTGTACGACACCTTAGGAGCTAATGCATGTGCCTTTATTGTTAATCAAAGTAAGTGTTTATTTAGTTGTATTACAATTACTGTCATTTCTTTCTTTTTAGGGTGAGATCAATTTCTACAGAGGGCATTCACACTAAAGATCATACTGACATACAATGAAAGATTAGAGTTTCTTTTCATATTTCTGTGATAAGCTTATTGTTTTTTTTTTGCAGCTGAAATGTCAGTTGTAGTTTGTGAAGATGACAAAAAAGCAAATTTACTCCTCGACCAGTCACCTAGGTGCTTGAGGAAACTTATAACAATCAAAGAAGTTTCGCCTTCCACGCATCAGAGAGCGAGGAGTCGAGGAGTCGAGATTCTTAAATTCAGTGATGTTGAAATTCAAGGCGCCCAAAAAGACCACCCGTGCCTTGTGAGTTTTTTTTTTTAATTTTACTACTTTTGTATTGGCTGAACCTGTATATGCAGATACCACATTACACTCTCTATTTTATTGTATAACTTTAAGCAACTCTGAGTGTTACAATAATGTATAATAATATAATACATCATCACTCGCGAACTTCAACCCATTAAAAACAAAAATTGTGGTTTTGTTTTAGCCACCAAAACCAGACAATGTGTGCACAATCTGCTATACATCGGGCACAACGGGTATGCCTAAAGGTGTGATGCTCACCCACGAGAATGTGGTGGCATCTATGTGCAGTGTGATAATGCAGCTCGGTGAACACAGACCCATGAAGAATGACATCATGATCTCTTTTCTACCACTTGCGCACATGCTTGAGCGATGTTGCGAGGTATGTAGCTCTTGTTGTATGATATAAATTTATTACTATACTGCAAAATTTATTTCAAATCTCTAAATTTTTCATTCTAGAATGCTCTCTATATGGTAGGAGGAGCTGTAGGGTTCTACAGCGGTGATATTCGAAGGTTGGGTGACGATTTGGTTGCACTAAAGCCGACCATGATGCCTGCTGTACCAAGACTACTAAATAGGCTTTACGATAGAGCTCAAGCTGAAATTTCCAATTCAAAGTTAAAGAAGCTAATGTTCAATATGGCGTTGTCGGCTAAAGAGTCGGAACTAAAGAGGTATACCTATTTTTTTCTTATTAAGGTAATGTGTGTGTAGCATTTTTATGTGTTCATCATTATGTGTGTTGTGTTTATGTGTACAAGAGTTTATGTTGGGCGAATAATAATAAAATCACTGTTAAAAATAGCCATACACTTTGCTATAGGCTTTCTACTCATTTACGCCTCGGTGTAAAAGGTTTTTTATACCGTTCTATCGGTTCTTTCGTAAAAATAAATAATGTTAATGTTTGGTAAAAGTTGGTTTTAATTGTTACTGCTGCAAATTTTTCAGAGGCATAGTTCGCAGTGACTCCTTGTGGGACAAGTTGGTGTTCCGTAAGGTGCGCGAAGGTATGGGCGGACGTATCCGCATAATGGTGGTCGGCTCTGCACCACTCGCGGGCAACGTACTCACTTTTGCGAGATGTGCTCTTGGGTGTTTGGTAAGTTAATTTTACTGTTCGCTATTATTTCTATACATTATTCTGATATACATTGCGCGATTCCAATGCTCGTATCATTTTAGATAGGTTATATATAATTTAATAAAAATTAGAACAAAAAATTTAGAAGTAACTCGTGAGTACACAGTAGTTTTTTTACCTATGGGCAACGTAACAAACAAGTATACGCAGTATAATATTTTGAATATAAGTATGTAAATATGTGTACCTAGAGAATAATAAAAGTTCTGAAGATATGAAAGAAACCCTTTTTGTTAATGTTAAAACGTTGAGAAATTGGGTAGTATCATTTATACAAATAATTTTATTTTGGTAATTGACTTTTTGACGTGACTACGGCCTACACTTTTTTTTTTTAAATTGACATTGTGAAATAAAAAGTGTAGGTCGCCTTAATGATTTTCCTGTAAAACATGACAAAAGATACAAGACAACTCAATTCGAGGTAACGAAACTGTAGGTGTTTTATGATGATGTTCTGGACGCGACGAGACGATATCCAATGTATGAATACACTTAATTTTACTGAATTGTACGACGACAGAGATCGTTGTGCGTCTTGTCGTTTTTGTCATATATGCGCAGTGACGTAAGACGCGGCTGTTGGTCTGTGATTTATACCATCCACACATTTTGTTGTCAAATACCTCTGCCAATGGAAAGTATTATTATAGTAAATGTCGTTCTTGGTTGTACGCTACGTTATGTAATATATTAACGTATTTAGTTGCTCTTGATCCAAGGTCATTATTATTCTTAATACTGTTTCATAAATTGCTCGCAAAGCCTATGCAGAAATAAAATATTGGCCATAAGACACATTTAGTTACTTGCGTCTAATCTTTAAATGCTTATTTATTTAAAGAATAACTTTAGTTTTTTAGCTTGAATTGAATTCTATTCTAAAATAATCCACTACAATATTTTTTAAGTTATAAGTATTAGATAAAACTTTATCAAATCTCTTTTAAAATATTAGGTAACTGTAATTCTCTTTAGGTCTTATAACATTTTAAAGAGCCATACTCATGTATACACACCCCTTTATGCTTACCTTGCGTGTAATAAATAATTATAGCGTTAAATATAGTTTTAATATTTCACAAAATTAACAAAAACAAAATACTGACAGAGTATTACGTGTTTGACAATGTTGGTAATGAAAGATTATATTTGTGTATACTTTTGAACAGATACAAAGTTTTCATTCACGTACATAGAAGTAATCATTTCTAAAGTAAAAACAATTCAATATAAAAATAACATATTATTTTAGGCTAACGCTATCGAGATGTAAATGAAACCGCAGATCAGAATATAGACCTTCACAGTCTGATTACAATTAATTTACTTCATCCTAAACATAGAAAGTCTACGAGTATCATAGTCTGACAATGTAACAAATAAATTATGTAAGACCAATCACCGAATGTAATAGTTCGAGTTTAATTTTAACACAGCAATTACTAATTGTCTTAATGCTTTGAGACATTTCAAATGTAGATTCCGACGTCAATTTATATCTTTTCACGTATCACAAATACTATCCAGCCGTATGGAAAACCGCCAACAGCCCTCACAGCTATTCTCGGAACGGCTTTGCTCTTATTTTATATCACTAAATTTGATATCCACAACAAGTCAAAATAGTGTTATCCGACTGGATAAACGGTCCTAAAAATAATCATCATAACCTTTTAATACGCGCACCACTCTTTTGAAAGTTATTTTTATAGACCATCATAATCCTCCGAGCCTTTTACCAAAGTAGGTTGCGGTCGGCTTTCAGTCTACTACGACTTGACTGAACTTCGATGTTTTACGTGGAGTGACAGCCATCAGACCTAAACAACCCATCCAACCATCTTTAGATATACTGTCGGACTTTTTAAGGCTCCAACTACCCGTAACGATGACTTACGTGCTCTCCTAGGCACGGAGAGTTCTCAATGTGTTAAGAATGATCATCCATAGAGTGATCCCATAAACACTGACCACTGACTATATTCTTATAAAGCAGCTCATCAACCCTTAAGACATTATTAATAGCTGTCATGACCTAGTATTTAGTAACATCAATGTTACAAAATAAATGTTTAAGTGTCTAAGTGCCAAATAACATAATTTTTCAACAGATCGTGGAAGGCTACGGGCAAACAGAATGTACAGCGCCTGTAACCCTCACTGTTCAGGGTGACCACGTACCAGAACACGTCGGACCTCCCGTCGCTTGTTGTAAAGTGAAGGTAACAATTTAATGCTATTCAATTACTTACTGAGATTTACCAGTTAATTATAATTATTTGCATGCAATTTATTTAAACAAAGAAGTGAGATCTGATGCTAGAGACTGTACGGTAATTAATTATCAAGTCCAATTACAATCGTGATAACTGAGACAATTGTGAGAAATAAGTCTTTGTTTAATAATAATATATAAATAAAAATCAATTTTGCTTATATTCTTAGAACTCTTAGATATCATCGAAATAAATAATAGAAAACTTTGATTCGCCTGTTAATCTTGTGGTTTGGTACCCTGTCTGTTGAGACAAAGGTCGTGGGTTCGATTCCACCCAGGGCAAAATTTTTGTGTAAAAGACGATAATTTGTTCTTTGTTTGGTTGTTTATCTTGTTTTTATCTATAATATGTAAGTACGTTTATCAGCAACATCTTTACCATAGTAGGCTCTGGCTAATTTTAAATCAGCCGGTGTGTGAGGGTGAGGTGTGCCGTGCTTTTATTAAAATGAACTTTCACATATTTACACAAATATAAATATAGACGGTGCCAGTGCCATTAAAATTTGAAAACGTTAGTGGTTCAAATGATCGCATTTAATGGGTTATAGCTGGAAATTAATACAGATGATTCATTGCTCTGATCGTTTAACAAGTCACTGATGCAAGCTGCCAAAACACAACGTTTGAAATACTGTTTAAATCAAGATCCGATAAATGCTTCCAGAATGCCAACTGGTTACTGTTATTTCATGGCACTCGCGTACCGTCACGTCTGTTAATTTCCTTCCCTAAAATAAAACTGAAATTATCTATATTGATTGGCCTTCATCGCTAATGATAAATGTGACGATAAGCCTAGTGACTGATAAATATTATCATAGGTATCTTAAAATGTAATTATTATTCATGCGGAAATATTATAAATAATATATTATTTCTTTGAAACTTATTTGTCGGTTGGTGGGTGGTAGTTCATATAGTCGTTCAGTTGTTAGAAAAAACTATTAAGCTCTTCAGCTCAGATTAAAAGCAATGATTACTTACTGAAAATTATGTTATACTATGACATCTAAAAACTAAAGTCACTTCTACATTCCATTTTCAATCGAGTTTACATTAATCAAATATAATATACTTTTTACTGTAATCATCATCATCATCATCATCAACAGCCTTTGATAGTCTACTGCTGGATAAAAGCCTCACCTTTGAAAGGAGGTTTTGGCCTACTATACCACGCTGGCCAGACGGGTCACGGTTCTTACACTACATATATAAAAATGTTAAGTTGGTTTGTGTACGCTTCACAAACTCAAAAAGTTCTCTACGTTCTGTCAATTTTGTTTCTCATTTCCCGATAATGCAATGTCAATGTACTAGAGCAAAGCGTACAGCTAATTATTTATAATCGACAGAGGTACAAAAATGAGCAATAAGAAAAATTATAACTTTATTCCAGTTAGTGGACGTGCCGGAAATGGAGTACTACGCATCGCAGGGCCAGGGTGAAGTGTGTGTGCAGGGTGCAAATGTATTTAAAGGTTACTTCAAGGAGCCCGAGAAGACGCGGGAAGTCATCGACCAAGATGGCTGGCATCACACTGGAGACGTTGGCAAGTGGTTACAGGTGAGATGAAACATTTCGTATCATATGTATATTTTTTAATAGTGCGTGTAGCCAAAATACAACACATAGTGTATGTAGGCAGAACAGACTATATAGGCAGAACTATCCGTTTAATAAAAATAGCTATTGTGATGCGATATCGTCCGTTATTTCAGCTTTTAGATGGATTGCAATAAGTCGTCTCAATGAAGAGGCTGTGTTTTATGTTTTGCATTTACTAGTTATTTTACACTAGCTGACCCGCGCAACTTCGTCTGCGTCTCTCAATAGTAATAAATTTTATCCGTTTTTTTAAACATTCTTCATTGGTGCTCCGCTCCTATTAGTCTTAGCGTGATGATATATAGCCTATAGCCTTCCTCGATAAATGGGCTAACTAACACTGAAAGAATTTTTCAAATCGGACCAGTAGTTCCTGAGATTAGCGCGTTCAAACAAACAAACAAACAAACAAACAAACAAACTCTTCAGCTTTATAATATTAGTATAGATTTTTATTCTGTATGTTAACCATACGTATTATGATATTCACGTTCCTCTGAACATGATTTTGTTCGATCGTTACATACAAATTTACATTTCTATACGACAATTTATTAGAATTAGGTTAACATTGACTTTCAAGATTTATTTACTTTGTTAGTTAGTAAGCGAAGCTATAAAAGCGTGGCAATCACAAAAACTATGCTTAAAAACCACTAAATTATTATCCACATATTTTAATTTAAGAGCGTTTGTATGATTTTCTTAAATTGTATTATTATGTTGTGTATACAATACCATGGTCAGTTGGTCAACTTGATTGATGATTAATAGTGTTGTTAAATCATTATAGTCATTCAGACCTTAATAACTTTTACAGCCACTTAAATAACATATTTTATTTCTCTTCATTCTAGAATGGTACTCTGAAGATCATCGATCGAAGAAAACACATCTTCAAGCTGTCACAAGGCGAATATATAGTACCTGAAAAAATAGAGAACATTTATATTAGAAGTCAGTACGTCGAACAAGTTTTTGTACATGGCGAATCTCTCAAGGTAAAAATTAGTTCTCATCATCCGTTAACGTAACAATTTTTAGTGAACAATTTTTTTATTTATATAAAATTTATATTGTATATTATCATCTGTATTTTTATGATAAAAATAAATATATTAATTTGATGATATAAACCGTAGTCAGTAAATGACCATGTTGTCACAGTTATCTAGTTTACTAGTCTATTAGAATGACAAAACAGTCATGATGACCAAAAATCCGTGTTCGTGTTCAGTCTGTCTAACTCACAAGTGCGGTCACTGAGAAGACTTGGCTCACATTGGTACTTGTTGTTGCGAGCAGTGGACTGTATTTTTGCGTCGCTAGTAAATGAAATCCTTGCTAATGGGGTTGTAGGTGTCTTTATTTGCCTTGACGGAGAGAGCACACACATTAACACACTAGACCACGAAATATTCTTAATAACAAGGTTGCCACTTTAACAAACAAAATAATTTGTTTTTGATTGCCATAAATACTTGTTACTACAAGCACTAATGGAATACAAATTTTTAAGACAGTATCCTCCCACTGTTATGGGACCACCCTCTCTGGAGACTTGAAGTTTAAACGTAGTCTATACCTATTGATATTACGAATTGTATTAAAATTACTAGTCTATACCCCATGACGATATGACCCAATGCCTGTTTGTTTAGCGGTTAGTGACCCTAACTGTTAAGCCGGAGGTCGTGGGTTCGATTTCCGCCCAGGACAAATATTTGTGTTATGAGCATGATTATTTGTTCTGTGTCTGTAATTTGTCTACATCATGTATGTATTTAGAAATATTTAAGTATTTTTATCAGCGGTCTGGTTACAATAGTACAGGCTTTGCCTAGTTTAGAATCAGACAGCCTTTTGTGAGATGTGTAAGGGTATTATTATTATAATTAATTAACTTCTAAATAATTGAACACTTTCTTTATTTACTACAGTCGTGCGTAGTGGCAATAGTAGTTCCTGACGTTGATGTGGTGAAGTGCTGGGCGCTCGAGAATGGTATCAAGGGGACGTTCACAGAGCTCTGTGAAGACTCGCGCGTAAAGAAAATTATCCTCGATGACATGCTGCAGTGGGGAAGGACCGCTGGTCTTAAAACATTTGAGCAGGTGTGCAGAATCAATTTGGAATATATATAACTGATTGTGAACGTGCACTTATTTCAATTTCTTTGATTATTTTTTTCTATCAAACTTCTTTTATGTGCAATCCAAACGTGTACCCCCAGTTAACGTATTTTTTTCGACAACATCTAGATTGTACATCTTAATAGTAAGCCTAATGATTACAATAATGTTACTATGAACTTTAATAACACCAAACCTGTCATTCGCTCCTAGACGATGCCAGTAACACAATAACTTATCGATCACAAGTAAATTTATTTAAAATTGTTAATGGCCTTGTCTAATCGTAATGCCGGTACGTGACCCTGTTTAGACCTATTGCAGTCGCAATTCCGATTTCCCATCCGTGATCTACGGCATACCTTAGGCAGGTATGCCGTTTGCCTGCCCATACTCCGACGACGAACGAACGGACGGGATGTCCGTTTTCATACTCCGATTCCCCTTCTTCTATTATTCCAGTCCGAAAAAAAATCACAAAAACAATCACCAAAAACCCACCACCGATCCCAAGTAGATTTGAGGAAAGGATAGGAATATATAGACTGAAGTTACTTACCGGCTAAAAAATTTTTTCATTTTTTCTATTAAAATTTAGGAAAAGTATAATTAAACATACATGTTTTTTTCAACAGGTAAAGGATATCTATCTACACCCGGACCCATTTTCGGTACAGAACGGTCTACTGACCCCAACCATGAAGGCAAAACGACCAGAAATAAGAAGTTACTTCAAGCCCCAGATAGAAGACATGTACAATCAGCTGGAATAGCGCAAGTTACGCACTTAGAAGTGGGCGATCGCTCGATTTATGAAAAAAAAACTTGCGCGCGCACCTGGGCTTGGATGTGATTGTGAACTTCGTTGCTTTATTAAGATAACCTTACGGTCGAGGAGCGCGTGTCGATTTAACTAAACCATGACAATTGTCCCCTTTATGAATTAAGGATCTCTGAAATTTATTTAATATTTTTATTTATATGACGCGTTCTTCCAAAATGCATAAATTTCTTTACAACTCTTCTGAATGGTTCTCTTACACAAAGATATAAATCATTTGTATATCATTTAAATGCTCGTAGTTGCTTTTGCAGAGGCAGTAATTGTCTTTTTGATTTATGAAGTAAACGTAGAGAATTGTATACATGTATTGAAATGCTTTTGAAACTACGTAAAGCGTACTCGTATGCTGTCTAAAGTATTTAATTCGATTTTTACTTCCATTTGGATTCCGGCCAAATTCAATAAATCTGATGATTTACGAGAACAGATTATTGTAGGCCTAAAGATACCCTACCTATAATTGAAGTGCAAATTGAAAATATACTTTGATGTTGTTTAATCTTGTTGTTGATGACGCATGAACACTTTTAAGATTCCGAGATTAGCTGACGCCATTGAGTACTTGTGGTCACATAACAAACCCATTAATGTTTACGAGTTTGTTCGTTATTTAAATATTCGCCTTTTAACATTTACCTCTCTTTGTATCTCCTTCGCAGCTTGCAAGATACAAGTAGGTACGACAATAAAATCATAATGTAATTAAAATTATGAGTGTTTAGAAAACACTAAACTTATTAAAGCAACGAAGTATTAAGCTACTGAGCACATTATGTAACTTCACTAAACTTCAATAAGCCTCTTTTCACAGTACAATGTGTTCGCTATATTTAAAGTCATTTCACTTTTTATCGCTAAATGAAACACTTAGCTAAATTCTATTGTAATGAATGATTTAGTGCGAATTGAGTTGATACGTTGACCCTCGCGGGGAAGATAGTTAAAACATTACACCCACGACACGTCAACGTATATAAAAGTAGACTTTGAAATTGTATATACTCAATTTCTCCTAGTTTGTAGACGTTTTATTGTTATGGCAATAATATAGAGGAAATTATCGTTTTATGGAAAGTCAATTAAAATACTATCTCACGAGAATGCGTCTCGGCCCCTAACTTATATATTGTAATTTATTAATAAGTGAAGGAAGGAACAGTGAAATTTGAACCTCGTTTTGTATTAAATCTAAACTTATGCTATGCTGAAATGTTACTGATATTTGAAACCCAAGGGAACGTTAAATATAAAAGTAAATAGTAACCCCCGTAAAACTGTAGTGAGCACCTCAGTGATATTGCAACTTTAATACGGAACATCGTCTACAATAAATAGACTTAGGTACAATTGTTAAGCATTACAATATTCTTTACAATTCGACACAGAAATGATGATCCTAGAAGGAACGGTTATGATTAGAACTATGAATATATTTGTGTTATATTGTGTGTCTGCTGTTGTGATTCTAGGCAAATATTAATAGTTTTAATACATTGTTGCTATTCAGAGAAGCGACTGAGACTAAAACGTTTTACACTAAAACGCACTTTTTGAAACGCATTTTATATGCTTTGCTTATCTGAATTCGTGCATGACAAATTAGAATCGTAATAATTTATGTAAATAGTAAACCCTGTATAATTTCCTTTACATCAAAATAGTATTGTAAGAGAATACTCACTTTTTTATATTGTGCCTTTGACCGGTGTTTAACTCGTTTACAAGAATTGTGCAGTTCTGTTATTTGCTAAGTTCGTGTTTGTTTATTCTCTAATCATTTAGTGTGAACTGTGAGGGTAACCGCGGTTTGTATCGAAAGACCCCTTCATTACCGATACTCGTGTCGAACCATCGACGACTCGCGACGTATGTGGTACCATCAACATTTTATGAGAGTGATTATTTTTATTATTGTGAATTATGGTGAAATAGCATAAAAGTACTTACTCCTAGGTCTAACTGTCGCACCGCATAGTTTCTAATTTTGTAATCGTAGAGCGCAATATTAATTAGTCGATACATGCTTTGAGCAAACGTTGCGGTTTCGAGTTGTTCAAACCAAAATTTTGTTGTTACTGGTGCAAGTTGTACTACGATAATTTATTTTTAAATAAAATTTTCAAAAATTTTATTTGTCTTTTAACTAATTTTTGTCATCGCCGTCTCGAGAGTGCGAAAATCTTTTCTCTCGTAGCGAGCAAATTTACTTTTCGTAGCAGCCGTGCGGACGCATTCTGTGTCAGCCGGAAGGACGGGGACGTTCTGCCGTCCAGACTGCGCGATGATGAGCGCCCGAAAAACATCAAAGTACCTTCGGCAACAGCATTGTATTCAAATGAAATTAAGTAGTTGAATAGTCCTCTCGACTAATTCAAAGATTGTAAAACAAAGTGCTTGGAAATTAACTTGTCTCCACTTCAGAAAAACTTCACATACTAAGTGATAGGTTGAAACTTTTCTAACAATGTTGAAAATTTTGCAAATTTTTCTAACCTTGTATAAGATTATTTGGTAAGGTCGATCTATCTAATAATCCTCATTGAGTTATGGAAATAAAACTAGTTATGTAAACACATTAACGTAGTTAATAGCCCAACGTTTTTTTAGATTGAGTAGTTGAAATATACGATGTTTATTTCGCTTGCCAAAAGAATTGGATAATATTCACAAAAAAAAGTGTTGATAATGTTGTCAGAGAATGTTTTCTTGAAATAGTTATAACCTAAGCGTGGGTGTGTTTGTGCGACTACTTAATTAACGCAGAGTTAAATATACGAGTCCGAGCATTGTAAGTACCTAGGTTTATTATTTTTCATAGCACTAAATCTCTAAATCACTAAGTAAACCGATGATAAAACTACTGATACGATACCCGACCGATACGAATAACCGATGATAAATTTTGAAATAACTAAATTTCTCATCGGTTTACTTACGCCTGTCCTTACATAACTACATTACTTGACTCAAATCCAATGAAAGGTCTTGCCGCTGGAATCGGTCAAGGCGTTTCTGAATTGGTCATAATGAAATTAATGTAATTATGGCTATATATGTGACTGACATATTGAAAGAATTTCATAAATTCAAAAATGCTGAATTAAGTCTGGAGATCATTCATCTGTAAAACATTAAAATAATTATAACCATATATTGTCCATCATATTACTTCGAATATTAATTATGTCCCGAATATTATCATATTTTATCAACACAGTATCAAATTCTATTTTGGACCTTGTTCAATACCTACTGATAACAATATTTGCATTTTAACGGTTCGGGTCAAACTGATAAGATATTTATAAAGTTAGGTTTGGATTCGCTAGATGCTTTTAAAGACAGTATGCACCGTCTGAATTTGCCTTCATCTATCCAATTCGTAAACATGACTAGTAACAGACACAGATTTTATAGAGGTTTTCCTCTTTTTAAAGTCACCAATGGATTGCTAGTGACGGATTAGGGAAGGGCACGAGAGTGTTTTGGAGGGGAGTGGAGAGTTCGTTCTTCACCAAGCGATGAGTTTACTTAAAAAAAGGGTCTATTTTTCAGTCTAATATCTTTTTCAGTTCAACTCAAACTTGACTTATTGTATAAACTTACAATAATATCGTAATAAATTAATTAAGATAAGCCAATATAGGCATATTTAATATTTATAGAACCAGGAAGGCATGATTAACATTTGTAGAACTAGGAAAAGTAAACTGTTGATATACAATATCTAATCTATTCTTAAAATAGAATACATAATTGATATTAAAAAGATCGGCTAAGTATAACAATTTATAACAATATAATTGAGAATAAAATCTATTGACTTCCAGTGTAAGTTGACCTACCATTGTAAGAATTTTCGTACAGTGACATGTCCACATAGCTGTACTGATGTTGACTACAAAGAATTCTGTTCGCATTTTGATATACGTATTGTAAATAACTCAATTTCGTTATATATGGTTATGTTTTTTGTATTGTTTGTCTTTTTAGAACGTTTGTTTTTATATCTTTATAGATATTTTTTTTATTTAACTAACTCGATTTTTTAGGATTTATTAGAATATCCCATTGGACGAAATTAGGTTCATATCACAGCATAACTTTTCAAATTTTTATAATCATAACATGCAAAAGTCGGGGTGCCACAGGCAGAGGTTGGATGGCATTTAGTGAGATCTGGTGAAAACTGAAGGCCCACATAATAACACATTAAAAAAGTTATTTCTTCAGTTTAAGCCAGCTTTCATTAAATTCCACCTAGAATCGAAATGAAATCCTCTGGCACCGCGACTAAAAGAGTTTTAGAGAATTAAGAGTGTTATTTGGGCTAGCGGTGAAGTATTATGTCGGACTTGAACCGCCTAAAACCACGTCGTATTGCGTCACCAGCATAGGGCCATGTCCAAGGTTCCCTTCTGCTTTGATAACGAGCAGTGCCATATGTATTCTCCGTTAAGTACAACAACCCCCGACATTACTATGAAAATTAAGAGGCTCTCCATGAAAAACGAGAGTCTCTCTAATCAAACCAGAACAAGGTGTTGAATGCGTTGGCGTTGAATTCCTAATTTATCTCTCTGCATTGACCTAAGGTTGACTAAAGTCCATGTCACCTAATTATTTGTGCTTATGTCTATATTATTATAAACTATTACATTAGTCCCAAGGTCAGGTTCAAGGTTATTTATTAACTTGACTACTTTCAACAGTACCGATGATCGATAAGCGTTTATGCATATTATCATTAAAGCACATCAAAGTGCTTCCTAATTGGTTTTCTATTACGTTAATTGGCACGATGCGTAAGATATGTTTGGACTCATACCAATTTCCTTGAACTCTTAGTACTCGTACTTCATCAAGTATGTTTTGTAATTCAATTTGGCTTTATTCCAACTCGGAAGGCTACAATAAATAAAGTAATCC